ATAAACTAGAGTACACAAAGCTTTAAGTCTCTCCATTTGTTAATGACAGTGGTAATGGTTCTTAATGCCACTGTTGACTGCTGTTCACTTTACATGGTTCAAATGTTATTCTGTTATAGTTTATTAAATATTTTATTACACTATTTGGTTCAGAATATATTTTCCCTGTTTTCCTCCTCTAAAAATTATGTGCGTGTTAAGGTCCGGTGCGTCTTATGGAGCAAAAAATACGATAAGCACTCTGAAAATTAGTATCTTGAGTCTAATGAAGAGTGCCATTTTATGAGATATCACAAATATGAATAGATTCGGTCTCAATAATTGCCCCAGAACTGCAACATTCTTTCTTTGAAACTTTTTTCAACATTCTTTCTTTTGAAACTTTTTGCAACTTTCTTTCACTAGCAGAGGGATATATTTCAAAAATATTATAAAGCTGTTTTCTTTGGCCAAGGTTTTCATGGTTCTAGTCATGCCATTTCTTAGTTTGGTAGTTTAGAAGTATTTTATCTGCTCATTTAATTTAGCTGTGTTACACATATTTATGTTTAACTGTCTGCTTACTAATACTGATTCAAAGTCTATGAAATCTAAAACCACAACTAAAATACTTATTTATTGTTTAAAGAAATGATGTCAAATAGTTTTCATTGTATGTCTTTCAAATACCACCTTTTCTAGTGGTCATATGTATATTAGATAGGTGAGAAACTTGTTGAGTTTTTATCTCACTGCTAGAACACTCATTTTGCACTTCCCAAAACTGTGAGTGATAAAAAATGTTTACACTAGAAGTTTTTATAATTTTATGATGTACACAAATACAGTACTCTTCCATCAATGGACAATAAAATAATGTTCAATACAAATGAAAAGCTGTACAAAAATAGAACTTTATTTAAAAATGTATGCAAAAATATTAACAGATTCGTCAGTGTGGTCTCTGCAACTTGCAGATACAGCTCTTGCACTTGGATAGAGACACATCTGGAACATTCCAGAATTGAATAATGTTTGGTGGCAACATTTCTGTGCTTTCAGTGCATTTGAATGTTCTAATTCCTTGTCATTAATATCAAATTTAGTAACTTTTAAAATAATACTAAGAGCACTAAGTCCAGTAAAACCTAAAAGGACAAGGTTGCGAGGCGGAGGAGGACGGACCTGGACTAGATGGGGGGGGGAACTTCTTGGGTACTTTTTAAATTTAATTCTATGTTTTATATTGGGATTTTTAATCATAATACTGCATAATTCCGTATTGTAATGTATTGTCTCTGCACTTTGTTAAGTTGTACTGTTTAGGGCTTTGTTTTTCTTATTTATCTTTTCTTTCTTTCTTCTTTGTCTGGCATGGAGTGGGAGGCCTGCTTGCCCAGCGAGGGGCCTTTTAACATCCCGGTGATCATGGGTAGAGGGAGATATGGCATTGACACAGTCCCTACTCATGTTAGAAGAACAATGAACAGATGTTTGAAGGCTGTTCATTGTTTTGAGACTGTGCCCAACCCTCAGTACCGAGGTAGCCAGTTCAGCCAGCCTTCCACTCTAACTCTGGTGCTGTTGAATGCCAGGTCTGTATCCAACAAGCCCCAGGTGATTCAAGATCTTATCCTGGAGGAGGATGCAGACCTGGCATGCATAACTGAGACGTGGATTGGCAGAGAGGGGGTCCTGCCCTCGCTCTTGTCTGTCTGCCCGGTTATGATGTCCAGCACCAGGGTAGACTAGAGGGGCCGGGGGAAGTAGCCATTGTTTATAAATCCAGCTTGGAGGTTACTAGGTGCTCCTCAGTGGCAAAGCCAGGTCTAGAGGCACTCCACGTGTTGATTGGGGCAAGGGATGGTATTGGGATTTTGCTGAGCTACCGCGCTCCCCGCAACCCAGCCACCTCCCTTCCGGAGCTGGCTGACTTTGTCTCCGTGGCACTGTTGGGATCCCCAAGGCTTCTCATCTTGGATGATTTCAACGTGCATGCAGGGGCAGAGGCTTCTGGGCCAGCTATTGAGTTCCTGGAAACCATGGCTTCCTTGAACATGTCCTAACATGTCAACGGCCCCACGCACGTGGGTGGCCACACATTGGACCTGGTCTTTTCCTCCAGTTGGAGCGAGTGTGATCTGATGGTGACGGACCTTGTGTCAATCCCCTTATCATGGTCAGATCACCACCTAATAAAATGTAC